GCTGGACAGCCTCGGCGAATTATGGGGCCATAATATCGGGGGGCATGCGAAAGCCTGATGCTTTGAGGGGCTTCAAACGGGCCTCCGGGGGCCTGCGAGCGCCTCTAGGTTGGGTTTGGTAGTGAATTTATGTGGGCCTTCACGGGCGTTCGGGGGCCTTCACGGGCCTCCGCCGGGAGGTTGCGGGGCTTCAGGACGTTGGGTTTGGTAGTGGGTTTCGCGTTTTTTTTGGGCTCCCGTCCCTACCCCTGCCTGGCAGACCCTAAAATATGAACATTTCCAGGCCCCCTCCAGGGGAGGCCTGGCCAGTGGCCCTCCAGAGCGCCCAGCAGAATTATAGGGCTTATATAGGGTTTGGGGTGTTGCTAAATGGGTAGTTATTATAGGCTTACAGAAAGTTTAGGATTTAGGGTTATACTGAGGGTTATGAAAGGATTATGTTGGTATTGATTCAGCCGTCAGAAGCGTGCGCACCTCCTCGATGAATGCCTCCGACTCTTCCCGGGCAGCTGACTCGCTGGCAAATCCTGGGTTTGGGGTTTAGGGAGTCTGCTGTCCAAGCCATTGTTTGAACTGGCGCTTTGTATGGAGCTTGTGTAACTCAGACATTACGATTATTTTGAACAAGTTCCGCATCGCTCCACAATTTCTGAGAAGCCCTCATATTCCTTGAGTCCCAAATGCCTCCACTTAAAGCACAAACCCACGCCCTACACCCCAACTTAGGGCTAGTCTTATGCTGTGTACATTCCTTGTTTCCAGATGTGATGCATATTTTGTTCTCTCTCTCTCTCTATATATATATATATACATGTACACATATGTCTCACTTCCATAAAGCCTCCTGTCCTGCCAGGAAGCTTGGATTGCCTGCGATGGTCTGGACATCCAACCGCAAGACGAGCTGATCGAGGCCATTGACCAGTCATAGCCGTTACCTTGCTGGTGCTTAGGGAAACGGGGATTCAATATTCAATTGGAGATTGCATAGGGATTGTATTGAGTCCCCCTGCGTAAGCTGAAAACAAACGGTAATTAGGATTTGTTGGGGCTGAATGAGGAGGGTTTAGGGCGAGGGTAGTAGTGGAACCTTTGGTCATGTATTCGCTCCTCTTTGATAACAGTGGCTGCAAGAATATCTAGGGATGTGTCAGGAGTGCCGTATGGAAGTCGCCTGCTGGGTTCTTGCGGGAGCATTGTGTAAAACTCCCCTTGCAAATCAGCATCCCCCGCAGTGAGTTGATGGTACGGCACTTCGGTTTTTCAGTAGGTCACTAGGTGATATCGATTTGGATTGTTTAGAGTTACAACGATCCCGCTTGTGCCTCAGGCTTCTTGCAAGAGCCCTTCGCGTGACGAAGTGCTGCAGCCAGAGAACCTTGCTTCCGTCCTCACCGTGGTTGTATCCACGAGCCCTTCGAAGGCCCACTGCGACGCATGGCTACTGAAGGAGGTCTTGCAGAGCATTCAGAACTGCCCTGCTTTGCGTCCTTGTCGGAAACTTTTGGTGTTCGATGCCCATGCGGAGAGCCTCGATGATGTTGCAGAAAGCGGTCGGGCATGGGTTGCAGACGGTACGGCACAGCTCCGACATGACTACCGCCAGTACATGAAAGCTATGCGCGAAGCACTCGAAGGAAGCCATCCCGCCATGCATGCTGTGGAGCTCCTGCAAATGCCCAGCTGGGGGCATCTAGGATGCCCAGTGGCATCTTTTTACCTGTTTGGATCCTTGGTATTCTTTTACCAGTATTGTAATGTTATACGGTTGCTGGACTACCAAGGCATCTTGTTGGAACTGTTCCTGGAGCCACTTTAGAAGATCTTCGTTTTGTCAGTCGATTAGAGTGCGACGATGTGAATATAGAAGCCTGGATAACTACCAATATCATGGTCCTGAATTCCTTGTAGGGCCATTTTCGAGGTTACCTCAAGAAGACTTCAAGATGATATTGGTGATGCTTTCGGCCCCCAGAGTGGATTTCCATGTGCTAACCATGCCATGATGGCTCTAAGAGCATCGTCTCGATGGGGCATCGCTAACCCTAGGTATCCCAATAGCCCAGTGTAGGTGAGTTTTGTAGAGTTTGGACCCCAAAACATCCATTCTATTTTCCACTATCCCAATATATACCCTATAATCCCTATATAACCCATTATAGTAGTTTCCATTTTCTTTTCCATTATCCCACTGTAACCCCAATACCTTCTCTAAGAACAGTCAGGTTTTCTGCTAAACTTAGATCCACCGGGGAAGGCAGTGTGTGGGGCCCTAGCCTTTCGGAGATCCTTTTGGGGATTTCTAAGCTGACGAGACCCTCAACCCTAAGCCCCAAACTGAAGGGAACCAGAGGTTCGGCATGCGTTGGAACGCGTTTCTACGCCCCTGGTGATGCTTCACCAGCACGACCTCATCCTCAGTGGAAGGTGGGAGAGTCTGACAACCAGAATTTCGAAGGTTTTTAGGAGGGTTTGTGTTGGTTATGCTGTAGATGTAGGGTTCTGTCGGGTTCACGTACAGTAGACAGATTGTAGGGTTTCGAGTCCTTAAGCCTTCAAGTGTGGCGGTCATTCGTGGTGGGGCTAGTGGGAGCATCGTAGATGCATCCCACCTGCAAGTCGAACCCCACACTAGGGTTCGTGCCGGCAGATTTCATATTCGAGATTTGCTACACAGTCTTGGCTTGAGAAGTACTCTTTTGAATCCCCTTATGTACATGCGAGAAGTTCTGAATTTTGGCGATTTGTCAGTCCTGCAGGCCGGTCCTTTCGTGCCTTTGCTAGTTTTCCATGAACACTGCGGTGCTTCCTGTCTGCTCCCTTAGATTCTTCCCTTATAGCCCTTACAGGTAGATATATTCTAATATAATATCCTTATAATTTACTATAATCTACCGTAATATAGTATAATTCACTATAGTATCCTTATAATCTACTATAATCTACCATGATATATCATAATTTACTATAGTATCCTTATAATCTACTATAATCTACTATAATCTACTATAATATATTATACTTTACTATAGTATACTATAACATTCGAAGATGTAGTCAGGCTGACCGAATCACAGCTGCTCGGGTCTTTGAAGCTGCTCCTGAGTGGTCGAGCGAACTGCGTACTTCTGAGCCTACTGCTGATAGGAGTAGTAATTCAATTTGGGGATACTATGGTACCTAATATAGCGTTTAGGGTTTAGGGTTTAGAGTTTAGGGTTTAGGGTTTTAGGGTTTAGGTTTGTCAGGGTTTAGGGCTTAGGCTATTAGGGTTGAGGGTTTAGGGCATTTGAGTAAAATTTTCATTTGGGGGTACTATGGTACCCAATCTAGAGTAAGATTGTATCCTCCTTTTGGAGTATAGTATGTATGTAAGGAATAAAATCTTACGGGGTTCCACCACCAAAAAAACACTACTCATATGAAATTTGACAGGGAGTGGCGGAGTGAATCCTTTTAAGGTTCCCAAGTGTGCATGCACAAAAACTTGCATGGGTCCAAGCACTAATCCCAAGGATTTTGCGGTACGTAAAGCCATGCAGGACGTTGTGCATCCACCCCATGTAAGCCTTATCCGATTCCCTGGAAGATTTCGAGTAATCCATTCACACAATTTAGTTATCCCCCATATCGTTCATATGCCGTGTAGTAGCCCGTATGTGTATGTGTGTATAAACATATATGCATATATACACACATACCTATTTATGGGGGACATGTTTCATACGAGGGCCTCGCATCTCTAGCTGGAGCTCAACTTAGAGTTTGAGCTAGTTCGAGCAAGAGTTCAGGTAGGTTTGAACCAAAGGTTCGAACGACGGGTTCCAGCCAAACTTGAAAGTTTGAACTGGGTCGAACTCTTACTTTCACTAGGCTCAAGCTTGCACTGTCTGAACCTGGGATTCGAAATCCATAAGAGCTAACACACAGAAGAGACCTCTACACTGCGCAAGGCACTGCGCATGACACCTGAAGGTCCACACCTTGCACAGTGTCAAAATGTGAAGTTTAGGGTTCAGGGTTTGGGGGAATGGATGACCTAAATTCACTATCACACTTTCCTTTTAGCAGGTTTTCAGTTTGGGCAGTTATGCAAAATAATATTTGAGGCCAACCTACCACCACATAGATCTTTGGCATCCTTGAGTCCCTACCTGGACCTAAAAAGTAGGTCCATATAATCTAGCATCATATATTAGAATATCCTATATTATAGCACAATATGTCATAATATATTATAATATACGATAATATATTATTATATACTATGATATACTAGAATATATTAGAATATGTTAAAATCTATCCACCCAAAACAGTCCAAAGGCAATTATTCTACATATGTTTGGAGGGTTTTCAGGTAAGGGCTGCCTATTTTAAATGCTTTGGCCTTTGATGGAGAATTTGGGTTGGGCCTGGGGCCCCCACCCACTAATAGTGGTATACTAGATATATATATATATAAGGACCTTAGTATAATTACCATTACCTCTTGTGGTCACTGTTAGTGGTTGGGGGCCCAACCTAAGGGAGAATCCGCATCCACCCAAGGAATAGGGACGTAAACTTCGCTCAGCGGTCCACGCAGTGCCTGGGTCTTGTAAGAAATCCTTTTTGTTACTGGGGGTTAGCAGGGAATAAGAGAATATATTATATGGGGACTAGATAGGGACTACATCCTCTTATTCCTTACTGAAGACGAGTAAGTTTAGGACTTTCGACAGGTCCGTCTTGAGAACCATGGTTGGCAAAAAGCATATTCAGGTACCTTCTGTCGCCCTTTCAGCGCTCTGACTTGTGGAGAGTCTTCCACAGTGAGCACGTTATCCAGACGGAGGAATGCACTCTGAGCCCATTTGTGGGCTATAGCGACCAGAGCCAGTTTGCAACTTGTTCCGACATTCTGCACATTCTCCTCTTATTGTTCATGGTTCCCTGCAGAGTTACTGTAGAACTACCCCAAAACAAAGGAAATGACAGCAAGAAGGCTAAGAAAAATACATACCCCATTATATAATAGTAGTTTCCATTTTCTTTTCCATTATCCCATTATAACCCTTATATAGCCCCAATATTACCTAGAATACTAACCCTGAACACTCTCAACCTTTTTCACCGCTGCTTGCGCAAGGTACGAGTGGACTGGCTGCAAGAGCATGTGCTGAGCTCTGTTGCAGCTCGAAAGTGCTGCATGGAGTCTCTCGTCTCCTGCTAGTGGGTACCTTAATGATGGGAGGGATGGCCTTCTTTCTCAGCTTTCAAATGATTTTCCATGTTCTTTTCCATCAGCTTCTTCATTAGACTTAAAACCCCTTACTCTAGACGCTATACATCCCTATATACCGCTGCATAACCCCTAGTTCCTTCCAGGATACAAAGCCCTAAATCCTTCCACGCCCTGAAGCCCTAAAGCCCAGACCCCAAAAAACTTACCCTTAAACCCTGAACTGGCCTTACACCCTAAACCCTACAGCCCGAAAACCCGACAACCCTACAACCCTGTAGCTCTATAAGCCCATAACCCTAAAACCCTGAAAACTCAAAATATAAACCCTAAACCCTAAACCCTATCCAAACAATGGGGCCAGGTTCGTAGTGCATGAGCTCATGATCCGCCAATGGCTTCACCACCCTGGGACTTTTCAGAAGACCTACATGCCGCATGGCCTAGAGTTTAGGGTTTGGGGGTTTAAGGGTTTCAGGGTTTTAGGGTTTAGGGTTTGGGGTTTAGGGCTTAGGGGTTTAGGGCTTATCGAGTTTAGGTTTGGACCTTAGGGTTGGGGGCTTTGGGTTTAGGTGTAAGAGCACCCTAAACCCGAAGCTCTTTTCCGCGTTATATTGAATAGAGTGAATCCACATGATTCTTCTCAAGATCGGGTTCCCAACCTAAATCCCTAAGCCCGATATAACCCCTCAACCCCTAAACCCCTAGACCCCTAAACCCCTAGAGCCCGAAACCCCAAACCCTAAACCCTAAATCCCAAACCCTAACCCCTTAAACCCTCTAGGCCTTAAGCCCTTATTCCTACAAAAGGCTTGGTGACATGGAGCAGGGTCCTTTCATCTTTGACTCCCAGAAGAATGGGAATGCATGGGCACGGGAGGATGCGTGAGTTGAGGGTTTAGGGTTTAGGGGTTTAGGGTTTAGGAGTTGAGGGTTTAGGGTTTAGGGTCTAGGCTTCAGGGCTTAGGATTTAGTAAGTAGGTATCTACTGTCGATCTTACGGCCCAATTCTTTATGCATTTTAGGGGCCTATCAACTTGGGGTTCTGGGGTGGGTTCCTTAGCCATCCACCCCCCAACACCCTTCAACCCTCGAACCATAAATTGGGTTGCGGCTAGGGAACTTAATCGAAGTTGCCAGAAGATGTTTCCATTGTAAGAACGGGTTTCTTTATCATAGTGACTCAATTTAAGTTCCTTAGCAGTAGCACACTAAAACCTTAAACCCTAGACACTAAACCCGAAACCCTTGCAGGAGGTGGCCTACAGCGAGGAAAACCTGGAGGAAGTATACGTTCCGGCGGACTCCCGCGTGAGATGCCGAGGAGATGATAGGCCCTTGAGGGTTTAGGGTTGTGTGTTTAGAATCTAGGGTTTAAGGTTTAGGGTTTAGGCTAGGGTTTCGGGTTGAGGGTTTAGGGTTTTGAATTTAGGGTTTAGGGTTGACAGGCTACCTCATTGGCATTGGGGATATTCACACATCTTACTTTCTTGATGTGGGGTTTCCCAACATTAGGGGTACCCTTTGGGGCTTCCCAATAATAAGGGTTATCGTATACTGGGGTCCACAACATTTTGTTGGGTCACTACCGTATTATAATGTAAAAACCATGTATGATGTAGGGGGTTTGTTATGGTTCTTGGTGATTAAGTACAGGGATCCTTGGGAACATAGCTGCGTTTGAAAAATGGAGTGTTCAATCTAAGAGACCTTCACCAAAAAAAAACAAGGGTCACATGCGCATTTCCGGAATCATGCGTCCTTCTTTTCATACTTCTGAAAGATGCGCTCCTAACTTGCCATACTGACCCACAAAGGACCCTCTTTGTTGCCTTTCCGTATATTCCAAACTCTCTAACCATCAAAACCAAAACCCTCAAATCCTCTATCCCTAACCCCAAAAATCCTAAACCCCAACAAACCTAACCATGAAAACCCCAAATCCCAAACCTTCCAAAGCCCTCAAAACCTTCAAAACCCAAACTTTCAAAATGTGCCCCTATTATACTATAGCAGTCTCCATTTTTCTTTTCCATTATCCCTATATTATACCCGTGTATGGCCCCAATATAACATCAATGTACACCAAAAACCCTAAACCCTAAACCTTAAGTAGTAGTTTCCATTCTGTTTTCCATTACCCCCATGTAACCCCTATAAAGCCCCATACTCTGTCTATTCAAGGGCCCCCAAAAGAGAAAGGCTATGCTATATAACCCCAATATAACCTACATAATCCCTATAGTTTCCATTTTATTTTCCATTATCCCAATATAACCCCAATGTAACTACCCTAAACCCTAAACCCTAAATCCTAAACCCTAAACCCCCAAAAAGACAAGAGAAAGGCTATGCCTCGCCTTGTATATGTGCCCGAGGCCTGCTGGAATGTAGGGTTTGAAGGTTTGAGGACTTAGGGTTTAGGGGTTAGGGTTTTAGGGGTTTGGGTTCAGGGGTTTGGGGTTTAGGGGTTTGGGTTTAGGGGTTTGGGTTTAGGGGTTTGGGTTTAGGATTTAGGATTTAAGGTTTAGGATTTAGGGTTTAGGGTGTAGGGGGTTGGGTTTAGGGTTTAGGGTTTGGATCTTGTAGGGTTGATGGTTTTTTAGGGTTTCATTTAGACTTTGGCTTTTTGGATTTTGCAGGGTTTAGGGTAGTTGCGGGTAGGGACTAGGGTTTCGGAATCGGGGATTATTAAGGCTTTGAGAAAACTCCATGTAGCTGCACGCACCGGCACGCACGAGAAGTTAGGGTTCAGGGTTGAGAGTTCAGGGTATGGCTTGACTGAGAAGTGGTAGTTTCCCAAAACAGGGGGACGCCAATATAGATCCCAAATTACTTTAATCCTTATGATAGGGACCTTCAAGAGAAGACACCTAATTTTGGGAAACCCCCCAAGACATTAAAGGGTTCCTGAGGACAACAAACATTCAAAACTTGAAGGACAAGCGTCGAAATAACCAATATCAACACAGAATTTTGCAGTCACGAGAACATACGCCTGTAAACTCTGGTCGTTACTTACCCTCCTACCGACTTGACACCCACGATATATGCCACCTACTTGTTCCAAGCCCTAAACTCGAATCCTTACACCCTGAACCGAAAGCCCTAAACCTTACATCCAAACTCTAAATCTCACACCCTGAACCCTAAACCCTTGGATCCTTGGAGTAACAAGGCCCCCTCTTGGCACCGGGGTGCTATACTTTCCCGACACGGCGGCGGATGCCAACAGCGCGTCGAGGGCGCGTTTCAGTCGGAAAAAGTGGCCGTGGATGGCATTCGCTTTGGTTTGTGACTTAGGGTTTCCTGAATTAGGGTCCCCTTTCCGTTTTGTGGACTTTTCGGGGCTTCAGAATGCCGTGGTTTGTGTTGTTTAAAGGTACTGGGAGCTTTTTCTTTCAAATAGTGGTGTATTTCATGCGCGGTCATTCTGAGCAAAAAACAATATTCTGCAGGGAACAAGGACATGCGTAGTAACGAGGGAAAGCCCAACTTTGAGGCACTTTTAGACCTAATTCACCTATCCTGTCCGAACGGCTTGAAACAACACGAGGGGCATAATCCAGGGATACACTTAGGTAACGCCCAGCAAGTGCAAAACCCTGCCTGACTCCAGATCTAAGCATGTCTAGGATCAGCCCTCAGGCCAGTTTAGGGTTGAGGACTTAGGGCATAGAATTCTCTGAAGATCCCTAAGCCCTAAACCCTAAACCGCGTCACCCCAAAGGATGGAAAGCGCTAAAAAACACACAGCTTGTTGACATTTGGTCCGTCTTCTTCCTGTAGCCGCTTGTTTCGTTGTTTTCGGCGCCATGTAGTGAACCACATGTCAATTTGGGGTATTTATGTATGCTACGATCCTACAAAGATTCTAGGGTCCTGGTAATTATGTAGGCCCTTGCAGTAGCGCGAAGCTCCTCATGCCAAGGCGTGCTCCTACTTGTCTGCTTTGCGCTGAAGGCGCTGCAAGCCCCCAAACCCCAAAGCCTAAAGCCTGATATTCCCGCTTAAGTAGAAAGAATGTGGCTGTGGGTGTAGTGTTGTAAGATCCCCATATACCCTATATTCTATCTACTTAAGGGACTATACACACACATTGAGCCCAAGACCCTGAAGCCCTAAACTCTAAAACCTTTCGGCCACACTGGCTTTTGCCAGACATGTTCTGAAGGGAGATTAATTTTTTTAAAGAGTAGCTCAGCAGCCAGTTGTCAGGATGTCCTTTTGGGGCCTCCCTTCGTTCTGTCTAACCCGCCGTAGATGTGGAGAGTAGGATGCTTTGGATGAGCGCTGAGGGCTTGGGGCTCAGGGTTTTGGAATCTTGCAGTACAAGCCCGGCTCGAACTCGAAGTAGCCCTCAGGAAATACAGATGAGTATTATTTGATTGGGGATACCCTGGTACTCAATATAGAGTAAGATTCTATCCTCCTTTTGGGGTATAGTATTTTATATACGGAATATTATCTTAGTAGGTTCAACCACCAAAAAAACGCTACTCACTACTCAGATGACCCCGAGCTCGAACCTGAACTCAAACTCGGCACTCGCTGCGCCACATGTCAGCTACAAGGTTCCTGAAAATAAT